TCGGTGAAATTATTGGAATGATGTTCCTCCCCGTTGGCGAGGATCTGATTGTCTCGAGCCTCGGTGAACTTCAGACAGTATTGATCGATGTCGTCGTCACAACTGGACAACGTCGTCTGGACCAGTTGAAGAAGTGCCGTGTACCGTCGGTTGAAGCCTCGCGGCTGAAACTGTGACTCTAGCCGGCCCCACATGGTTTGAAGAGTGTTCGACGCCTTAAATTGAAGCTTGAAGCTCGGGGACATCAGGCCATTGATGAACGCCAAGGCCTTCGCGTCTTCTCGATCCCACGCTTGTTGAGCCGGTTTGGACGCGTCGTCGGGCCGCGGGTCGGTGTCGTCGATGTGGCCGTACCATCCCTGGCCAAGGAGATGGTAATAGGTTTCGATGCGCCAGGCTTGATAGTCATCTGGCGACTTGAGGATGAAAGCTCGAGTCTTGAGTTTATCCATGATGATGTGACGACGGAACACCAAGCCGCAACGCTGATTATTAAGCAACTGCCAGTGGTGGCTGGCAGAACTCTGATTGGGTAGAACGGAATCACAGATGAGCGCCGGGCTCATAACCTGTTAAGGATATGAGATTATGCTCGGACTCGGAATGTTTCCTCATTACTTCGTTTGTACTCATCTTTACAATCATGGCTCCCATCCTGCATTTATATATACACCCCTCAGAGGGAGATTCCGCAGGTTGGATATGCATTAACAATGATGACCAAGAAATGACTAATCCCTCTCCTTGTCATCTCCCACATCGGAAGGTATCTGGACCGAATCTTCAACACAAACTCGACAAATCTCTGATATGTAACAGGCTTTATGAGACCATCCATAATGACCGCTACTATCACGAGACGAAGTCTTCACGAACCTTCGACGATGGGCTGTTCGACTCCATTGTTCTAGATTATGTCCATTGTCGATAATGGCCCGGGGCCATACTGCCACAAGATGAGCAGGTTACATTGTTAGGGACGGTTCACAGCGTCACTCCTGCAAACTGACCCTGTGTTACTAAGGAGGAATCTCACGGATATGAATGTGAGCGCCTTTACCTTAATCACAAAGATACCGTACATGCATGAACCGAGTACAATGCTGGTGTAGCGTATGTGAATAACGCTAAATCCCCTTATAGGCCAATCGATAGTTGCGGCGCCTGTTTAGGTCCCCTCTTGCCCTATCTATAGCCCCGATTGTATGGTGTGCTGACACCAGCGAGATCAAACTGGAGGCTGGGACCGGTGACGAGATAGGACAAGGTTACCAGAGACGGGGATGCACTGGGTAGCGTTTAGCGCTCGGTACGCTGCCCGTGTCCCAGCCTATCTAGGCTGCAAGGGCATTCGGGACCTCCGCGGCCGTAGGAGACGCGTCCTCCGACCCATGGCCCACGACTTATGTCCTACACACTACCATTGCAAAGCATCTTATACCACCGAGCCACCTTCAGAACTACTCAACTTCAACATCAAAAGAAAGCTGTCCCTTTTCGAAGCTCAACAATAACTTCCAAAGAAAAACAGCGCAATGTCTCGAGTCCGACAATCAAGTTTCTACAAAGCATTTAAAGTCGCGACCAAGAGATATCCTCTAGCAAGTCACAAAAGGAAGTCTGGAATACGCCTGATTGCTCCCATTTTCATATATCTCTGTCAAGTAAGCCGTGCTCAGGGCAACACTGAAAGCCGCTTACCATTGAATATAGGAATCTCAACCACACCAGTCATGTTGACCCCGGTTTGATTGATTGATTGATATTCTTACTCCCATGCGGGCTAAGCCTAAAAGGGACTAGCTAATTCTCATGGCTACATGCACGAAATTCCGGCTTCATGGTGTTTCCTGCTATTGGTCCTTTGGCGGCATCCGATCTGCGTTTGCTGAGGTCCCCGTACGAGCTCTACATTTTGCCGTCAAGACTCTTCTTCTTGAGTGTTACTGCTCTTCCATCGGCACAGGAACTGTCGATTGTAGGCTCGTGACATTCTCAAACAGGGCTACCTCCTTTGTTCAGCAGGGTCGAGCTTCAATCGACCAGTGGCTTTCGCAAAACGAATCGTCGCTCTGACCACTTCCATGTTGGGCTTCCATTTCGTGAGCGGTCCGTCCACTCTTTCATTCGTCCACCCTCCCAGGAGGAATGGCACATCCGTCCACCGATCCGTGGCTGCCTGAAGATATCGTTGGCGCTGCAAGGTCCAATGCGTGCATTCCGTCAGAAAGTGTCTGAGCGTCTCGGCCCGGCGGCACCCAAGGAATCATATAGTATTGCGCCGTATCTGCCTATCCAGATATACTCCTACTTTTCCACGTTCCTCGCTGGTCTACGCTTCCATAGAGTAGGGCGGACCAGACCTCTCCTCTACCTAGGTGACTCCCTGTTTACTCCTTAAGCATACATCAACGGCCCGCACTGCTAGGCCATACCGCTTTGTCACGACTCCGACCCGTATGTTTCCCGCATGCTCTGGCTCCAAACTATCCCTCGTGGACGCTCAGTTGCACCGGTGGTTGATCCCCTTCGTCTGCGTCAGGTTGCGGCTGCCAAGGGTCCCCTCCATCAGGTGTCAGGTTGCGGCTACCGTCAGTTCCCTTCTTCTGCATCGGGTTGTGGTCGCCAGGTTGGCAGACGATCCCCTCTGTCTGGGTCGGGTTGCGGCCGGTCGGTAGTCCCCTTCATCGAGTGTCGGGTTGCGGCTCTCGACAGTCCCTTCCGTCTCGCGTCGGGGCGCGGTCAACTTCGCGACGTCACTTCGCTCCCACTCCGACCCGTAAGCGCCTCGCATGCGTTCCTCTAACCATCCGCCGTCGTGACGCAGGACCCTACTACGAGTAGGGTAGACAGTGTCCGTTCTCTCTGTGCACCGACATGCGCCTCTGTCCTCTCGAGCTATGCAGATAGTCTTGTAGGGTTTCCCCCGCCATGGCTACCAATGCAGACCACGCCCCGCGAGTCGCATACTGCTCGTACACGCCTCGTTTCGCGTTGCCTAGCGTGGTCTCCCACATCTAGGCCGTCCATGTCTTGCAAGAGGACCGTGAGAGAATTCTAGCCAGCAACCCTTCTCACGTTGCGATCTCTTACTAACCAAGCTTATGTCCCCCTTTCCGTTGTATTTCCTCGCGGTGGCTTGTTCCTTTCGGTAGACCATCCTCCTCCTTTCTCTGCCTCCGGTGGCTTGTTCTCGAAGTTTAACAGGGTCCCTCGCAGGTAAACCCATACGCCGTGGACGGTGACTTGTTCTCGAGGTTTAACAGGGCCGTACGCGTCGCCGAGGACCACCTAAGATAGAAGACGTCAGAATTAACAGGGCCGCCAGTACGTACCTTCCAGGGATCCCTCCACCCTCGCACATGTCCTTCGGGACACATATCTCAGAGCGCTTGTAAGCTGGGGGTGTCCTGTCCCGCCAGTAGGCGATACCGCATCCACAAGCTTGATAGGACTTGTTTCGGTTCCAGGTACGAGCTGGATACTGACGGGTCGGGTGGTTTTCAAATGGTGTTTCCCCCTTTTTCGATGACCCCTGTCGCAACACGGTATTTCCTTGACGTTGAAGCTGCGGACTCATCTTAGTCCACACTTTTTCAGTGCTTAACACCGGACACCGCGAGAAGGTGTGAGTCCATCGTCCCGCAGACCCGTAGCCTGCGCCCTGCATGCTCGCAGAGGGCAGAGTACATGGAAAGGCCAGTTGCTTGCGCATTTCACGGTAGTGAGAAACGAGTCGTCACGTGCCATAACTACGTGCCATAACTACGTGAACGTAGCTATGGCACGTGACTATGTACTGTAGTGTACTTTTCGGGCAGGGACATTGGCCTTCCCCCCATGGCCTCGACCATTGGTGCTGATCCTAGTTTGAGAATTATAGCATGGAAAAGGTAGGGCAATTGGTACATCTGCATCTTATTATGATGGCAATTGCGTTGAGAACCGAGGTTGTCAACTTAAAAGGTACTTCTGAATAATAATAATAAAATCTATACCTTACAACATTGGGAATCAGAACTGAAATAATCTTCCATCAATCCATCATTCATGCTCGTACCACTCTGGCTTAGCCTTTGGTAGTAGCTTCGACGCACACATCGCTCCTTAAGTTGAGCCATGGTAGGAAATTGTGGATGCTTCGCGCCAGGACAAAAACACAGGGTAAGGAACTCATGCATGGCACACTGATGTATCGCGGCATGGAAAGGCGCCCCCGTATAAGGATACTTCTCGTGCAGGGGATAGAAGAACGAAAAATTGTTCTCCTCGAAGACAATATATTCGGATACATTGTAGTCGGGATATGCTTGTTGGAGGAACTCCAAGGTACAGGCTGTATACAGATCGAAAGTCACGACTCATGAGCTCCAGAAGGCTTGCACGAGTATTGAGGCTGCGTCCAGCGCGATCGAATACTTTCTTGTCCGTGATAGCGCCGCTCAGGACATTGACTGTGGTCTCCTAGGCGTTGTCTGATCAGCGTCTGGCCAGTTTCTAGGTGCTTCTTACTTACCAAATACACCCCCGGATGCCCATGTCCTTCCACCCAGAGTTGCCACGTGACAAGGAAACCAAAGGTATAAAGTAGCCGGCAAGCGAGTTTCTGCCGCACGATTAAGTGTCGCAACCTCGCCAGCGAAGAGGATTGTGACATCAGCACAGGCTTCATGTGCGATCTGAAAGCATCATGTTCCTGGCGCACTGTTGGAGCTGGACGCTGAAGAATTGTTGCAACGTCGTCAAGAAAACCAGGTAGGGATTTCGTGTCAGTGCCTTCGAGATTGATCCTGACAGCGACCGAATTACCGTCTGACCGCTGCAATTGGTCGCCCAGGGAGTAGTCTTGATGAACAAAGCGCAAGGTGCCTAGTGTGTTCAACAATTCGGCAAGCCGCGGGGTTTGAGTTGTATCCACGCTCCATTGATTGCGCAACGAGTCATTGGGGACTGTGGTCAAGGCCCTTTCGGTGTCCCTGTCTAGTGTGATTACCAGATTCCTTATCATGGGAAAGTTTGTAGTCTGAAAACAGGACGGCATACCCGAGCTCTGATTGCTGTTTGTATCGTTCGATATCCCGGGTTGATCGGACCACCATACCGGCTCAATGGCATGGAGGTCGGCTTTCAGCGTTATCTCACGAGCGAGGAGCTGACAACACTCTTCCCTGATAGATCGACAAGTGCTAAGGATAGCTCGACCTCGAGTGGCGATCTTGAATTGGTTCAACGATTTCCGTGCCTCCGTCGAATCCGTGTCATAGGGATACCGATTACTGACGGCAACATAGGCTTCTGCGATACTCCGTAACAAAGGCAAAGATTTGTCGACGGATCTCCACAGGAAATCCATCGAGCGAGTTATCTTTCGGGTGGTGTTTCGATCTCGACCATGAACATGACACAACCATGTCGATACTTCGTGTTGGTCAAAATTGGGCTTCGAGGGGCTTAAAAGTCGGTTGTATTTAGTTTTTGCTGGTCACGCCTGTGATGTGGCAGTCTGAACGAAAGGAGAGATATAAGTTATAACTGCCCACGTGGAGCGCTGATGGAGGCCCAAAGCTGGCGCCTGACTCTAAACGCTACTCGGCCGAGGCCCAGCGCTTGGCAACATTGCCAAGAAGGCGCCTTTGAAGCAAAGGAACTGGTTTGGCACCAAGCGGCCCTTACCCGAGGAAAATTTGACCATTGTCGATTTGAACACGGCCTCAGTTAAGAAGGTCACGGAAACTGACATTGCGCTTCCGATCGCCACGCAGAGTACAATATGATCATCACCATAGGCTACGAACAGCGTCACTAGTTCCCTGAGCAACATGGATCGGACCGGCATCAACCGGGCACGAATCGACCAGTTGCAACTCGAGCGTGGCATGTTAACGTGCCAACAGGTCTTGCCACGGTCGCGACGTTGACCCCGACCGTGGCTTTGCTCCCCGCAGCTCACAAAATCATGCTCTTCTATATCGACACATGGCGTGCAGTCCCTTGAAGACAACGGTGCCGCTGGCACATGTCGCGCAATCTCCAGATCCTTGATGCCGCAAGCCCCAGCCTTGATGAATTTTACATCTGACTTGCTCACAGGCATCGTTACCCCAAGAGCAGTGACGACCATAGATGCAGCCTTGCCGGCGACACTTGGAACCCGTGGGCACACTCGTGTATTCTCGGAGTATCAGATGAGGCCTACGACACTGCTTCAGTCGCGGCAAGAAATCGCACAAGAGAGGGCTTGAACAATGCAGTGGAATCAAGCCAGCAGGTATCATCATTTTAATGTGACAACCCTGGCTTCGGTCATAAATGCCAACTAATTTGTTGCTGGCCGAAAGGCCAGCCCCGACCATCCCGGAAGAGCCAATTGGGTGACCATTTGCATGAATTCTTCTTCATCTGATGATGGGTGTTCCGAAGTCAAACCCTCGGACGCCGTCATTGAAAGTGATCGTGCAATCCTGGAACTGGGATGATGAACTTGAACGTTCTCCATCCATCTCCCCTGACAGATGAAAGACTACATCAATTTCAGTAGTCCTTTCGTCTTGCCTCTTTTATATCCCTTACCAGATTTTCATTGCTGAACATGTTCAACCGTAGTGACCTCTGTAAGCTCCTTGGGAGACTGTTTCCCGGGGATAGTAATATATGAGGAGCGTCGCGAGCGGCCGCAACAATACCGGGACCCTCAAAGATGTCTGCAATCTCCTCCAGTGAATGTCCCTTGGTCTCAGCATAGAACAGATACACCACAATCACCATGATGGTGAGAAGGACAATGTAGACGATGTAGCTGACCAACATACCAATGGTCGAGTACAGCCACAGCTTCCGACGACCCACTCGGTCCACCATGAGGGATCCCAGCATCGCTGCAAAAAAGTTGAAGATTTGCAAAATGCCGCTGATCAACGTTTTGGTGAATGAGCTGGTGACGTCGATGGAATCCAGGACCAAGGCCAGGTAGTAAGTAATGATTCCATTTCCCGACCACTGAGCAATGACTACGGTGAATGCGACAATTGCCAATCTCTTCTTGTCGGCTTTTGTCATCCACAGCTACCGGAACAGGCGTCAATAAAGCGGAACAGGTGTAGTGGGGTGATACTAGTAGTCGGATGATACGTACCGAGGACCATCCAGTGCCTGCGAGCTCCTCCTCGGACTGAATTCGGCCCACCATCTCCTGCATCTCAAATTCCACTAGGGGGTGCCCTGCTTCGCCGCCGCCGTGATACCTTATTAGAAAGTTTCGTGCTTCGCCCAGCTTGCCTTTGGAAATCTGCCAGCGAGGAGACTCCGGAGTAAAGAAGAGGCCAATTAGCTGGATCAGGGGGAATGTGGCTTGGAGAACGGAGGGGATGCGCCAGCTCCAGGTCGAACCCTGCATGTGGAAGGTTCCAAACGTGATCCAACTCGATGCTATCGCTCCCGCATAGTATAACATTTGATACAAGCTGGTAACCTTCCCCCTCTGGGTTGGATACGCAATCTCGGCGACCAACACTGGTGCTGGTAAGGAAGCCATGGCGATGCAGGCACCGACAAAAAAACGGGCCAAGATGAAGCTCGCAATGTTGTGGGAGGCACCCTGCATGGCCGCGGCTGCGACCAACACCACATCGCCAACCATCAAAGTGCAACGCCGTCCAAACCTATCCGAGAGCCAGGCGGCAGGCAGCGATGTGACAAACTAGTGTCAATTTGTGGTCAGTGACGGCCCATTCAACCTCTGTCAGTGCGCTGCCGCGGTTTTCCAGGCCACTTATCCCTCCAAGAGGAAGCACTCTATTCATGAGTCCCAGCCTGGTGCCATCTGGGTGTCCAAAGTACTCATTCCAAGTTTCTAATGCCTGGAGTCCGTTCATCATCGATGATTCAAAGCCTAAAGTGGTCGAAGACAACAAAATGACCGCAACACATAGATTGAGGCGCACCAAATGTGGTGTAACGAGCCACGACTGAGAGGTTTGGGGAACGACAAAGCCCAGTTCCTCACCGACCAGCTGAGTATTCGTTTGACCCTTCACAAGGCCATGCTTCGAGTGGTCTGGATTTTCCATGCTTCAAATGGTCGCTGGAAGGACAGTCTGGGGTCTGCTAGAATTTTCCAATCAATAATCCCTTGGCAGAACAAGCAATGGTCGAGCTGGTCACGGAGACGGTGCTGCTTTCAAGACGGCCTGCTCGCGACTCACCCTCTTCCCGCTTTCTTCTCACCCTCCGACTCACGCTCTCACGCGCCCTCGTAGCGACGGTCTAATTTCTACTGCAAGTCCCCTGGTACGCCACATCCCACGGTGAGTTCCACAATTGGCGACAACCAGGGGAACTCCATTTTTGGATGCCTACAAAGAGGTCTTGACTGTTAGGCTTAAGGTCTGCTGGTTCCCTCCTATAGACGGAGAATTGGCACTCTTAATCGACAATATTTATGATGGAAAAGGGGGATTAACCGGACCTAAGGAAATAGGCTTATTTGTGGTTGAGCCCAGCCACAGACTCTTCGGCCGAAAAATTCACATCTGTGTCCTCGCGAAAAGATGGTGCATCCGGTATGTCTAACAGATCTGATGCCGTGTCTTCTTCCTCAAGGCCTTCGAGATGCTGCAGGATCATCTCCATAGATGGTAATACTTCCCAGTCGCTCCGTGATGTCCTTGTTGTGCCCGACTCTGAAAGCGGATAGTATGGTCATAAATTGGCTTCAGAATCTCGGCCGAGTTTTCCAGAACCAACCCAGTCTTCTCGGCTGAGCCGGTCTTCTTGTGGCAAGTCCGCCTCGTCCTTTCTTACATCGAGAACCTGCACGGATACTTCGATCTCCTGTCTCTTCTTGAGTGCTCGCCGAATCATCATATAAGTAGAGCTCCACCTCGTTGTATTGTCTCGAACGACGCCTAGGGTTTTCGATTCCTGCGAAATCAGTCCATGTTTAACGTCTTCGATGGCGGCAAGAGAGATACTCTTGGACAGCTCCCTGCGCTGTGGTGAGGCCCTGATAAATCATGAATGTCGTGATATTCTGGAGTTTCCCGACCGGGACCCTCTTTCGCCAGGCACTCAGGCATTCGTTCTCCCGATCTAAGGCCACGTTAGTTGCGTCCTCTAGCCTGAAAGCATCGGCGTCGCAGCCAAACAAAAACAATCGAGCCACATGATTCAAGACGTTGGCCCAGCATCGTAACCGGCGTTCGCTGATCGCATCATCAGGGGAGGTAGGGTAGACCTTTCGCATCACGCATTTCAGGCAAGTATCGTTGGATTCGGCGTTATCTGTCATGAAGCAGCCTAAGCGATCTCGAACGTGGAACTCATCGATCACATCGAGGAGAGTTTCTGCCACGTTCGCTCCAGAGTGCGGGCCAAAAAGACGGCGTAGGGCAATCAGCATGGTTCGATCGTTGAAATCTTTGTCGAGATAGTGGGCAACCACAGCCATGAGTGACATGGTCTTACCTTCCGAGGTCCACATGTCAAAGGAGAGGTGTATCTTGCTCCGTGCACAAGAATGTAAATGACCCCTGATGTCTTCATTATTCTGCCCATATTCGTGCATAATCCACGTCCGCAGCGTGTCGCCGGCGGGCACCAGGTTGAGAATGTTATTCGAGCCCAGTGAGCATACCTCGATCCAGCGTTCGAAAGCCACAGGCCTCAACTCCGTTTAGAGGGATGCTGGCGTCCACCACTCACCGCACGAGCGTCCGTTTGAAAATAATGTTCGCGTCCGTCGTTGCTGGCACATCATCAAGCTTTCGCCCCTTAGCACCCAGAACCTGCATTGCCATCACGTTATATGAGGATGATGTCGACATCTCCAGACCAGGCCGCTTGATACCATGTTTAGCCGAGAGATGGTGTTCTGCATTGCTGGTCGTCCCAGTGTCATACAGTTAACAGCGCCGCTTTCAATCGCACTAGGAACAACTCCAGAACGTATTGCCCTGTTAATTCTCCCTCACCTCGACCAGGTACAGCCCACGGTCACCGACCCAAGAGTAGCGCCTCGCATTGGCTGGCCGACGCACCCACTTCTCCAGGACATATTTCTTTCCCTGAATTAGAATACGCGAGAGGTCATCAACCGTAAGCCTTTTCTCGGCGAGATCAAATGGCTCGACTTGCTCAGCAATAGAGATCGATCGACGACGAGAGAGTCCGGCATGCGGAGACGGCGTCAATATCTCCCAAGAGCTAGAGTGAGTGGCCGTGACATAGTTTCAGATAAACATTTGAGGTTGACGCCGGCGGTGCGAAAAATTGAAGAGTCGAGTGATAGACACGTCGAGACGCGTCCCCTCAACCACCAATGAATAACGCGCCAAATATTCTGACTAAACTAGGCTCATATCTATAGATTCCATAGATATTTACAGTCTTTGATCTGATCTGATCTAGATTGATCTGACCTATTCGGAGCGCTGGGGAAAATACAGCGAGTGAATGTCGACGATAAGACGATAACGATCACAGCGTGGGACAGCTTTTCGCACCCTGAAACTATACACTGCTGGCCACTGTCTCTTCCCCGGTAACGACACCGTCTTTGGTTTCGTGATCGTGAGTTGACGCCTCAGAATAGACCGCCATAAGGTCCTCGTCTCCAAACATAGCAGCGACTTCCTCAAGAGGTTTGTTGAGTGTGTCTGGATATATGAATAATATGGTCGTACCGAAAACTACAGAACAGACAACGAAGACGAGATAAAATTTCCAGCCGATGTTGGCGAAAGCTGTTGGAGCAACCTGAGTCCAGAGGATATTGATCAGACTGTAACACATGACACAGAGTGTAGCTCCCTTCGCTCTTAGATGTGTGGGGAAGATCTCGCTAGCCTATAGTAGAGAGTTGAGTAAAGTCTGACGGAAATTGAAGGCATGAAGATTGAGGGTTCAACTTACATAGAAGTAGCCAGGGCCGTCCAGCCACATGTTGTATATAAAGCCGAATATGAATATAAAAGCCACGCCTGCGCTTAGAGCGGCTTTGTTGTCAGTACCCACGAATCTGGCCACTAAAGCGGCCTCAATGCTGAGCGGGATTGCGCAGAGGTACAATCCTCCGCCAAGCATGATATTTCGAGGAAGTCGGTCAACAAACGTCATGGAGATTGTTAGGGCGAGTAGGCCAGTCACAAGTTGGCCAGCCTGGAGCTGTAGTGACTGGCTCGTACTGAATCCCAACCCGGAGTAAATGGTGGGACCATAGTCTGGATTTTGTGAGCGACGAGATGCTCGAACTGATGAAGTGACTTACTTGCAACCACCATGATACCAGAGCTATACAGTGCAGACAACAATGAGCAGGCAATCAATGCACGTTTGCGATATGACGGACGAGTCCATAGAATTCGCCAGGACGAGTCCAGAGACCGATCAACCGTGACCTGTGTTACCATCTCCGCGAACTCGGCCCGTAAGAATGTTTCGTCTAGGTCATGTTTTGAGCGGTGAAGTTTCTGTATAATGGCAAAAGCCTCGGAGTCTCGTCCTTGCATCAAAAGCCAGCGTGGACTCTCTGGCGCCCAAGGGGTGAAGCATAGAGTGATCAGCGGGAACAAGCATACAAATGCCAACGGGCCACGCCACTGATTCCCACCAGGCGCGTGATAGTAATAGAAGCCGACTCCGACGTAGTTGGCAAGAACATATCCAAGAATTGCCATCCAGGCGTGCAATTCGGCGAGTATGCCGCGGCCATGTGGCGGAGAAACTTCAGTAATCCACATGGGAACGGCGGCCAGAAGGGACACCGCACTGAGAACGTCAGCTAAAATTCAGACTTAGTTGAATTCTGGAAGCACAATACCTCCAGCCAGTGAAGAAGCGGAAGGCGATAAACATCCCAATGTGTACGGATCCTGCAACCAGCGCACCAGCGACAATCATCAGCAAGCATGCGGATGCAATTGAGGCCTTCCTGCCGTAGCGATTCGAAACCCAGGAATTCACGAAGCTGCCAATGAAACCACCAGCAAAATACAACGAGTTCGTGGCACCTAAGATATGTGCGCGATTAGGATTGGTCAACCCCAGATCCATGTACTCGAGAAAAGAAGGTTGTGCTGATGATGGCTGCGGTTAGTCAAGGATGTCATCGTCCTTTAGATGAAGTTCAACATTACATAGTGTGGGAGCAATGACGGCACTGGCATATCCAAAAGCAGTGCTTCCAAAGCCAATGGCGATAATTTGTAGCACCAATCGTGGTTCGTAATGCGACTTTTTCTTTTCGCGACTTAGGATCTGGGTAGCGTTGTTGATTGAAGCCTCCATCTTCGTAATCCAGAATTCACCACCAGTGATTGGTATAAATGAGGCACAGCGAGGGGGATAGAAGGTCAGTCCACTTGAAGGGGAAATAAGAGCATTTTATGATCCAGGCCAGCAAGTATACAGGGCTTTGTAGGGACTTGGCTTTGACTTTGGGAGCGTTGAGGAGTGAGTCGAGCTCGGAGTTTGAACTTGGACTGGGGCAGTGTGGAGCACGCAGTGCGGAGGGGATAAGGTCGGAGACCTCTCTCCGAACTCTGGGGAGAGGAGCAGTCCAGTTGGAGGGGGGTTAAGATTTTATGCTCCAGGCCAGTAATTATACAGGGCATTGTAGGGGACTTGGTTTTGACTTTGGGGCATTAACGAGTGAGTCGAGCTCGAAGTTCCAACTTGGACTGGGCCGGTGTGGAGCACGCAGTGCGGAGGGGATAAGTCGGAGACCTCTCTCCGGACTCTATCATGACTGGAAGTACTGTAAGAGATGGTAATGATCTCTGAGCCGAAACGTGGCGCACATCACGCGTCCGAATGGGTCGAAGGGCCACCTCGGCACAATTCCCGTCTGGTGTTTGATCCAGACCGCCGCCGCCGACGACGACGGCTGCACATTCGCGACTCTATGTTCTGTATCCTGCAGGGAGCCAAACTTTAAGGTCTGTGGACGTACATTACTCTATTCATCTTCCTGACGTGTAGACGTTGTGATCGTCATAGTTGGGTCGACCTCAACATACAGCTCGCCACCGTTATCCTCAATTTTGTATGAGACGCTATGGCTGCCAATCCTGATCGATGGTCCCAACGTGGCCGAAGACCAATCCGGGTGGCTAATTGTGCTGGAGGCTTAAGTAGGAGCATCAAAAAGACACCTATGTGTTCATATGGCTAATCTGCTGCAGATGATCCTGGGTATCAGATGCGCCGTCCAGCGGAACAGGGAGACGTGGATTTTATCACTGGAGACTGGCTTGCCGGTAGGTATGTCGTCTTCCCGAGCTAATATGTCTTGAATCTGATAGTGTGGTGTTATAGAGGTGAGCTTAGCAGACAATAAGGATGCAATGATTACTGGAAAGCATGGTGGTTGGATAGACTCATGCTGGGATGGTATACGTGCCAGCCTCGATATCCTCGCTAGCAAAAGCGTCAAACTCATTATCAATGGCGGTGGACTAAACCCTGCTGGTCTTGCGCGAGAGACTCAAAAGCTTGTATGTCGACCTGCGCTGGAGGCTACAGGATACTAACAGCTACCAAGGTGGTTGAAAAAGGGTTCAAACTTCGGGTTGCATACATCTCTGGAGATGACCTGCTCGATGAAGTCAGACAAGGCCTTGAAAAGAATGGAAGCATACCAGGTCACCTTGACTCTATCAACCCAGAAATTCGTCTCCCAAATAATGCGACAGCTTTGATGGATACTGAAAACCACCCTTTACTGGCTGCGAACGCATACCTTGGTGCAAGGGGAATCGTCAAAGCTTTAGATGCTGGTGCAGACATAATTATATGCGGCCGAGTTTCCGATGCCTCGCCTGTCTTGGGTGCAGCATGGTGGTGGTATCAGTGGCAGGACAGTGATTATGATGAGCTAGCGAATGCTCTCATTGCTGGCCATTTGATTGAATGCTCAGGATATGTCACTGGCGGTAACTTCTCAGGATTCGACCAGTTCAGCTTGGAGCAACTCATCGACATACCATTTGGTATTGCCGAAATCAGTTCGGATGGCACATCTGAGATCACAATGAACGATACGGGGAGGGGCCGAGTCACCGTTGACACCGTCAAATGTCAATTTCTTTATGAGCTACAAGGGCCGATCTATCTCAACAGCGATGTCGCAGCTGATGCAACAAACGTAAAAATCGTGGAAACAGGGAAGGACCGAGTAAAAGTGACAGGCATCAGAGGATCGCCACCGCCTGCAACGACTAAACTTGCGATCTTCTATAAAGGTGGGTATCAATGCCAGCTGTTGATCAATGCAACCGGCTATGATACAGAAAAAAAATGGAATCTATTCGAGAAACAAGTGAGATATGTTCTACAACAACGCGGAGTCCTCGATCAATTCGATGTCCTTGACTTTCAAGTGTCTGTTCAACGAACCATCGATTCTGGATGTGCAAGCTGACTGACGATAGTGTCGGTGAACCTCAAGCAAACCCCGCCAGTCAGCTCAAGAGCACTACATATTGTCGGGTCTTTGCACAGGCAAGTAATGAATCGGTGTGTGCGAGCTTGAAGCCTGCCTGGGCTGAATTCATCATGCAACACTTCTCCGGTTAGTACGGCGCCTTCGTTCTAAGGTGCCGGTTCTCACAGTAGATAGGACTCCATTTCTCTTTTGACTTCCGGACTACAATTCCCCAGCCTTATATCGCTTACTATCCGGGCATTTGCTCTCAAGAACAACTGAGCGAGAATGCCAACATCCTGGCATATGATGGCACAATGGCCAAGTCAATCGATGCTGGCCATCCACTTTCGTTCGCTCCGATCTCAAGACGCATCAATTTTGATACAGCCGAACCATGGGATGTCTCTTCAACTCTCCATACTAGGTCTGTTCGCCTTGGAGACATTGCCTTGGGCAGATCTGGCGACAAAGGGGCAAACATCAATCTTGGAATCTATCCTAAAGACGCTAGCCACTGGACTTGGTTTCGATCATTCATGTCCAGGAGCAAGCTGCAGGAACTAATGGGACAAGATTGGCGGGAAGAATATGTCATCGAAAGATCGGAATTCCCTAATATCAACGCTGTTCATTTCGTGATCTATGGGGTTCTTGGACGTGGGTCCAGTAGCTCACGTTTGTTGGATAACCTCGGGAAGGGCTTCTGCGATTTTATTCGGGACAAGGTCATTGATATTCCCCAAGAACTTCTTGTACACCCTTAAACGAGATACAAGCGCAGTTTCAAAACAAGACCTCGAGTACATGCTCAAATAGGACGAGATAGACCTGCTAGCTTCAGAATTAATGTTGCTGCCGACAAGGTTGGAGTATTTTTTACTTGCGTCCATCGAAGAAAACCGTACGGAACAAGAGAGCATGATCCGATTTCAGAGGCCTTTGAATTTCATTATCAACCTTTGTGGCTATCGGATTCAGGTCAAGGTAGAGGTCGAGTTCCATAGAATTCTTATTATTTACTTGAGCATCTACGTGTTCTCCTACACACATATGAGTGATTGGAGGCTGGGCGCTGATGTACCTCTTGTTCGTGAACCTATACCATGAGCAACCATATCGTGCTGCAGATGTAAATCCAAATGCCTTACACCTGCTTATTTTCGACCTTGATGCTGTTGATGGACGGATATCTACTTGAGCGGTTGTATTTTCGGGTTCTCTTCGGCCATGAATAAATCTTTGAAGTCTTGGATCTTGGCCGCCATGACTACTCGAATTACTGCCCACACTTGCACGCGGGGGGGAAGACAGAAAATGTCGAGTTGGAGAATGGTGACCGAGATTCCAATCTTCGTCTTCAGTAGGTGGATCTGGGTAGGGGCCTTTTCTTGCGTTTCTGCATATTGAACCAATCGATATTTGATGCACGTTCTAGAAATAGTAATCCTGCAGGGCCTGTCAAGCATCCCGGTGCTAAACCAGGATTTCGGAGGGCGGTCCCCGAGGCGGCTCGAGCTTCGAAACGTTCGAACAGTCCTTATAGCTAACATGATGTGGATGAGCGAGGAGAATGGGTTACAATCAACATATACATCAACCCAACTGCCGCCTGAGCAAACAGACGCCTTATTAGCAACCGGAACTGGCAGAGTGAAAACGGAAGCGTCTCTCGATCATATACTCATGTCTGTCAACCAGTCAGTCCGGCCTCGGCTAATCGGCGCGTGGGAGCTTTTTTCTTATGTTGTGCACTCTGAGAAATCGGCTTCAAACGCCTTATACCCCCTAGGCAAAGACGCAAAGGGCATAATCATGTATACGCCAGATGGTTATATGTCGGCCCAACTACAGTGTCCTGGGCAGGGGAAATTTGCAGGTGCACATCCGATAGACGGGTCTGAAAGTGAATTGGCCGAGTCCGCCAGGAAGTTTGTTGGATACACTGGTCCATTTTATCTGGATGATTCTGGGCCAGAGCCAATACTCCTACATCATTTCGTCGTCTCAAGTTTTCCAAACTGGTTAGGAGACACACAAGAACGAATCGCCAAGTTTGAGGGTGATCACTTGATATTAACCACCAGATCCCCTGTAGAGTTGAAGGTGAGGTACCCTAGTCTCATTTCCAGTAATCCAGCAATTTAACATGAGACAGGGCGAGCGATGGAATCCAGTCCTCACATGGCGTCGCATGGCGAACAACCAGGCATCTGAGCCACCGGACGCATAACTAGAGTGCTTCAATGGCGTCTGAGCGTCTCCGACAATCAAAACCGCATGGGGCTGAGCGTTAATCGAGTATCCCATAGTGCTTTCTGGACCACTTTCTGTTACTCGACAATAACGAAGATTCATAGTTCTCTTAGTGCTCCGTCCGTAGTACAGCCAGACTTCTACACCCGTCCCGTGCTCTGTATAAATCCACCATCAACCACAATCTCCGTCCCTGTAATGTATCCTGCCTCCCTGCTCGCCAAGAACAATACCGCGTTGGCAACATCCCAGGCTGTCCCCATCCTCCCACTTGGACACTGCTCGTCTCTAACCTTAGAGACACGTCCATAATCCTCTCCCAACTTCTCCTCCACAATCATCTTGACCAGTGGCGTGTCGATCAACCCCGGTACTACCGTATTCAATCTCACACCCTTTTTCGCATACAGCACTGCCGTCGACCGTGTGAATGACAGGATCGCTCCTTTTGCCGCCGAATAACCAACGTGGGGTGAGCCGATATGACGCAGACCCGAGACAGAGGAAATGTTCACGATGGAACCGCCCGAGGATTGCTTCTCCATTATTGGCAACACCAGATGTGTGCTGAGATAGACGCTCTTCAGATTCAGTTGCATCTGTTGGT